ACTTTGCTGAAGTCAAATTATTTATTTATTTTTGTATTTTATTGTTGGTGCTTACTATTTTCTTTCTTTTTTTTTTGAGACAGAGTCTACCTCTGTCACCCAGGTTGGAGTGCAATGGCGTGAGCTTGGCTCACTGCATCCTCCGCTCCTGGATTCAAATGATTCTTTTGTGTCAGCCTCCTGAATAGCTGGGATTACAGGCACCTGTCACTTTACCTGGCTAGTTTTTGTATTTTTAATAGAGATGGGATTTTTATCACGTTGGTGAGGCTGATCTTGAACTCCTGACCTCAAGTAATCTGCCCTCCTTGGCCTCCCAAAGTGCTGGGATTACAGGCATCAGCCACCATGCCTGCTCTATTTTCTCTTTAAGAAACCATTGCCTACCCCAGGGCCATAAGGATATTCTGTTATATTTTCCTTTAGAATTTTAAGAGTTTAGCTTTTACACTTAGGTCTATGATTCATCTTGATTTAATTTTTGTGTATTATTTGAGACGGGTCAGGATTCATGTTTCTTTCATAAATTTATCCAGTTGTTGCAATGCTACTTGCTGAAAAATCTTTTTCCATATTAAATTGTCTTGATCTTTTGTTGGATAAAAACATATACACATCTATTTTTGGACTCTGCTGTTTGTTGAACTATATCTCTGTCCTTATTTGTCTATAACTTCCCTGATGGTATACGGTAGCTTTGTAATAAGTGTTGAAATAGGATAGTGAATGTTCTCCAGATATCTTCCTCTTTTACAAAGAGATTTTAGATTTTTTGCATTTTCCTGTATACGCTAGAATCAACTTGTCAATTTCTACATAAAAGCCTAGTTAGATTATGGTTGGACTTGTATCACACATTAATTTGGAGAGAATTGACACTGTTTCATCATTGAGCCTTCAAATGCATTAACATAGCATATGTCTTAGCTAGCTTGGGCTGTTACAACAAACTACAATAAACTGGGTGGCTTATAAACCATGAAATTTATTTCACAGAGGTCTGCTAGCAACCGGTTCTTTCAGCTTTTGTTTATCTAAAAATGTCTATTTCATGTTTCCTTTTTAAAAACGTTTTATTTAGAATACTTTGTACTATTCATTTGTATTTTCTCACATTAGAATGTGAGCAGTAGAAGGTTGGAAGCCTTATCTTGTTTACTTCTCTATTCACTGAACCTGGAATTGTGACTGCCATGTAGTATTGGCCAATTTGTTAGAAGGAAAGAAGGAAGAAAAAAAAAAAGAATGGAAAAAATGAAAGAGGGAAGAGGGAAGAAAAGAAGGAAGAAAGGACAGAAGAAGGGAAGAAAGAAAAAGAATAGAAAGGGAAAGCAAGAAAATTAATTGGCCTTGCTATTTATGGCCTCTATGAAAATGTTAGTGTTTGGCAGTTTCTTGAAACATCAGTTGTATTCATCTGGTGTTTGAGTACCACCAATTAGTTTGCTTAAAATAGCAGTAAAAAATATCTGGCAATGGCTGGGCACTGTGGCTCAAGCCTGTAATCTTAGCACATTGGGAGGCTGAGGAGGGAGGATCCCTTGAGCCCAGGAGTTCAAAAGCAATGTGGGCAACATGGTGAACATCTGTCTCTACAAAAATTAGCTGCATGTGGTGATACGCACCTGTACTTCCAGCTACTAGGGAGATTGAAGTGGGAGAATCCCTTTGGCCCAGGAGGCAGAGGTTGCAGTGAGCTGAGATGGTACACTACACTCCAGCATGGGTACAGAGCAAGGCCCTGTCTTAAAAATAAAAATCTGGCAAAAAGAGGTAAAGGAAAATGCCAAATACATATAAGCTTTTAAAATTTATAATACATTTTAAAGTACAAAAATGACAATTTATGTCAACTGATCTTTGACAAAGGTGTCAAGGTCACATAATAAAGCAAGCAATATCAAATAAATGTGTTAGACCTCCATGTGCAAGCCTGGACCCAGAAAATGTAAAGTCCTGCCTGCCTCTGATCACCCTCACCCGCTACCTGAGTTCCCCATTATCCCTGATAGCCCAGCAGAGCTTCCTCAGGACATAAGCTTCCCCTCACCCCACTCTGCCATCTTAAATGTTATTATGATAATGTGAATACTCCTCACTCCACTCTGCCATCTTAGCTACTCTTACCCTACCCACCATTATAACTGAACTTACTCCTTGCCCCAACCCCCACCACTGTAACTGATTTTACTCGGTAACACCACTGCCCCCTCCCCAAAGGAATTGCCCCAACCTATAAAACCAACTCTTATCCCACTGCCCCCTCCCCAAAAGAATTGCCCCAACCTATAAAACCAACTCTTACCCCACTGCCCTTCGCTAACTCCCTCTTCAGCCTTAGCCCACCTGCACCCGGGTGAATAAACAGCCATGTTGCTTACACAAAGCCTGTTTGGGGGTCTCTTCATTCAAAGCTCACGTTTTTAACGAAATGGTGCCAGGAAAATGGAATATCCACGTGCAGACAAATGAAATTGGACCCATATACAAAAATCAGCTTAAAATGAATTAAAGACTTAAACACAAGATCTGATACTATAAAATGACTAGAAGAAAACACAGGGGAAAAGCTACTTGACATTGGTCTTGGCAAAATATATTTTTAAAATATAACTTCAAAAGTGTAGACAACAAAAGCAAAAATAGACAAATGAGATTATATCAAACTAAAAAGCTTGATGAAAACAACAGAGTGGAGAGAAAACCTACAGAATGGGAGAAAATATTTGCAAACCATACATCTGATTAGGATTTTTTGAATGTTGATAGCTAGAAATAGTCTACCATTAGCACCTTTTCACTTTACTTTGTTGTTCTTACTCTTTAAAAATGAATAAATATTTGGTTAAGTGATAAAATGTTTCATATTACTTAGATCTACTCTAATTTTTTAATTGGTTGGGCTGTACATTATTACACCATGTGTAGATATACCATGACATAAGATATACCATGACTTAAGAAATCTGAATGATATTTAAGTTATTCCCTCTTTTAGAATTATTTTTTAATATAATTATATATCATTGTGTTTTTACATAATTTGTATTTGTTTCAGGGTCAGGAAAGTTAAGACTTTTTTATATGCTGACTAGTTATTTGTTCCTTTTCTTATAAAGTGCTCTCTTTTGTGCATTGATATTTCTTGTTTGTTTTTTTTGTGAGCTTGTTCTCTATTTTAAAAATAAATTTGTAAAGATTTTTTCCTAAATTTCGGTAATTAGCTGTGAATCCTGTGTTTCTTGTTAGTTAAATGCTTTTTCTTTTCATAACGTTTTAAGCTTTGCTCAAAGAGTGGTTTTTTTTTTTTTAAGTGTTGTCTACATTATCAAATTTATGGTTTCTGAATTTTGTGTGTGCTTAGAAAGATCATCCCCACCCTAGGTTATAAATAAATTCAGTCACGTTTTCATCCTGTTCTTTAATGGCTTCATTGTTTACTTTAAATCTTTGATCCATCTGGAGTTTATTTTTAGCTAAGTAGTAATTTGGAGATGTGGCTTTACTTTTTCCAAATGACTATATAGTTATCACAGATTTATTGAAAAATTTATCTTTACCCACACTGATTTGAAATGCTCTCTTTATGATAATTTCCATATGTATTTGAGTGTGTTTCTGGACTTTCTTTTCCACTGATGCTTTTGTATATTCCTGGCCTATTATTGAAGTGATACGAACTGAAGCTTTATCATATGTTTTATTTTCTGGTACAACTCCTTACTCTTCCTCTTTATAATCCAGCTAGTTTTATATGTTTACTTTTCAGGCTAATGTAGTAACAGTTTTAGTTTGTAGATTTTAGAGCGTACTTTTTTTCTTCCAAAAGAAATGATGGTTTAATGTTGAGCTCTTATTTCTAAGAACAAGATAAATTGCAGTTTATTGAAGGCATATAGTATGTCTTTCTATAGACTCTGAAAAATTTTCACCTTGTAATGTCCTAAACATTCTTTTTATTTATTTATTTTAATGTCCTACATATTCTATATAAAGTTTGTTTCTGCAAAGATCTTTCTATTTGGGGTTATGATTGAGATATTTTCTTCCATTATATTTTAAAATTCATTATTATTTATGAGATTTATATTTATTAGCTATATAAATATAACATCTTCATTTGTCACAGGTTTCTAGTTCATTCTCTTTTTTGACATATGCAATCATATTATCTGTAAATAACACTTTACCTTTTATTATTAAATATTTATAATTTGTTTCAGATTAGTATCATTATTGGTCGTACTGCTCATCTGGGTCCAAATTCAGACATTGCCCACTTGGTGAAATGTTCTGATCCTCAGTTTCCTTGTCTTTAAAATGCTGAGAAGGGCAGTTCTTACCCACAGGGATAATATAATGATCCAGTTAGTAATATGTATAAAGCAATTAGCAAAATGCCTAGAACATAATAAGCATTTACAAATGTTAATCATTGTTTTATTTTTTTCTCAGTGTTAATTGTGGAGTCTAGTCTTTTATTATCATCATTAAATAATATTAATAGCAATTTTAAATGACTTTCAGTATTATTATGTGGACTGACCCAATAGTATATGTGCAGAATATTGATTATATTATAGTGAACATATATTCTAGATTTTCCGGCACTACCGTACATGCTATTTTATTATTTTAAATACAGGCAATAAATTATTATGAATCTGAATGGCACTTAGTTTTATGTTTCTGTGAGATATAAATATAAGTGAATTCATAAATTGAAAAAAGCATGGTGATAATAGGAAACTTTGATTACTGTTTCATTCTTATTTATATTGTAAGTATTTATTCACGCTTTATCTTTCCTGATTAAAAAAAAAAAGTAGGCATCATACTCAGTTGACTCATCTGCACCATCAGTTGGGAAAGTTGACAGAACCTTATATGGTGTGTTGCCCCAAACAGACATTCAATAAATATCCTTTGAGTAAAGGCACAAATAAATAAGCCCAACAATTAAGAAATAAACGGACTCAGAGGGTATATATTTTTTCTAGATTCCACAGGATGTGAGCATATGCGGTGGAAACATTGTGTTATTCCATCCTCAGAAGAAAAGGGACAGTATTATACTTTATCTCTTGCTAGTACATGTAACATTCTTTAATCAGAGAAATATATTTAATCAAGAGTCACTATGTGCAGAACCATGAAGTAGAGGTTTAAAATGTTAAATACTCCTTCATCAAGGAAGGTTTTTTTTTTCTCCTTAATGCACTTGTGTTAAATCTTACTCTAATCAGCTAGTGTTTTTTCTTTTACTCATAGTGGAAATTGCAGATATCTTGTTTTTACTGTAAAATCTGATTTATATGCTTCAGCTAAATGCAGAGATTTCATTTATGAATGCTAGTCTGTGATTTATTTCATTGTTTTCGTTTTTGGACAAGTCACTGCAAAATATCTTTTTTCAAGTAGGATGGTATTAACCTTTTCTGATTGCAAAGCCACTCTACTAGCAATATCAATAATACTTGTCATTTCTGTCAGTTACTTTATTACATTTGATAAACAAATAAATACAGCCCCACATATCAAAAAACTAAAATAAGCAGTTTGAGAATCAACCCTTTGATAATCATCTACAACAGATTTGGAGCCTCTGTAATATTTCAAAGAATTGGCCTTTTTCCAGTTGCTGCTGATATTGGGATTTGAGTTAATTGCCGATGCATCTCAAACAGCAGAGCAGGTGCTGGTAGAAAGAACATTCCCTGTATTTTCTTTGTTATTTATAGTCGGAGTTCTTCTCCACTAAACCCTTGAGCCGGCTTTTTAGAGCCCACTGTATAACAATTTCATTCACTTTCATGTCAACAAGCTTTGGCTTGATAAATTAAAATGGAAAAACGCTGGCTAAAGCACTGCAGCCCTACACGATTCATTTTGCTGCAAGTTTCTGGCAGCTGCCCAGGAATGACCTACTATCTTTCTAGTGTCCTTATCATTTTCCCATCTGGAAAGGGCTAAACCTTACTGTACGCTGGGGAGTTAAGGGCCTGTGCAGGCTGCATTCAAAGGCCATTAACAATCGTAACTCTAAAAATCATCACCCTCTTTCAGACAAGGTTAAGAGTAGTCTATAGGATAGTTTACTTTTATTTAAATAAATACAAAAAAGGGGCACGGTTTCTTAAATTACCTAGGACTGCATACTAACTCAAACCAAAGATAATTTAGGGGAGCCCATTCTAAATTATGTAACTTCTGATATTAGCTGTGAATTTACTATTAAACAAAATTGTTTATTCATTCATCTAATCTTTCTTTATACAAATGGATTTTCTTTAAGGAGTCATAAGTGGGATGGCTATTTTAGTGGTTATTTTAACAATTAACTATCAAGTTGTATAAGTTATTAGGGAAAAATAACTTATTTTTGGAAACAGAGGCTAAATGATGAAAAAATCATTATAAACTCTAGTTAGAAGCTTGTCCAACCCATGACCCACAGGCTGGATGCAGCCCAGGATGGCTTTGAATGTGGCCCAACATAAATTTGTAAATTTTCTTAAAACATTATGAGATTTTTTTTAAATGGCAATTTTTTTTTCTCATCAGCTATTGTTAGTGTTTGTGTATTTTATGTGTGGCCCAAGGCAATTCTTCCTTCCAGTGTATCCCAGGGAAGCCAAAAGTTTGGACAGCCCTGCAAATTATAGCAAAGTTTTATCATTTATAAGTAGGCTTTTTAAAATAACACTATATGTAGATTATAAATACATTAAGTTTAAAACCTGATACTAACTTAGCATTTATTACCCAAGAAATTGTCAAAGCATAAATATAAGGCTGTGAATTCTAAACAATTATAACTTTTAGGAAATGAAAGCTCCCTTGTTACTCGATATTTAACAATTTAAGGCTTTCAGCAGTGAACTTATACTGCATGTTGGTAATTGTTAGTCTTGTAACTAAAGTGGAAAAAGATGTAGAGATGGCCAGGATCTTTGACCAGCTCTCACTGGTAGGGTAATGAGGAAGATCTAAATACAGAGGGCAAAGCCAAGCAAAATGCTCACTCTTCAATAAAGAGAAACATAGAAATAATCAAATTAGCTCCCTGCCTCCTACCCCAAATTTGTCATTTGTTTAGGAAATGTAACCACTTGTAGGGGCTGCTGGATGGTTAGAAAAGTTCAGGAACTCGAACCTTGAATTTTATCTGGCAGTTGAAACACTGGAAGGCTGTGGAGACAAGAGAAGAAAATGCAGTTTCAAAATTAGTGTTGCTGGTATTGAACTCATGCCTCGGAAGATGCTTATTTGCAGGTGGGGTGGGAAAGGTGGCAAAAACCTGCCAATGGGATTTTGTTTTTATAAAGGTCAACTCAAGATCTAATCCTGAAAGGAAACTGAGAGTTAAATGTCTGTGAATAATAATGAAAGAAGTAAACTTCACTGTGACTAGAATTGAACCAGTGGAGTAATTCCATACCTGTGCGGCAGATCTAAGAATGGCCTATCCGCATCTCCGTGAGGCTTGAGACTCAGAGAGGGAGCAGTAACTCCAGGCTAAGAACAATACCATCAAAGACTCTCCCACTGCAATGGAATTTTCGACTTTTCATTCAGTCATTTAACTAATATTTATTCATTGGGCACTTACCTTATGCTGACGTTTTCTAGCTGGGCAATGATCATAAAGAATCATTGGGATTGGGTATAGCCCAGAGACTGTAAGAGGAGGAATGTTTACCTAATCTTTTTCTCTTTGTTTTTTTTCCTTTTCTTTTTTTCATCTCCCTTCTGTACTCTTAAGCTATTATTAAAGTTTTATTAAACCCCAGAGCCTTGTTGTAGATTGTGGTTAAGAATTTTAAGAGAGGAATGTTTTTCAGCTTAAAAGCAAAGTAACATGACCATACAAAATTGCCAATATTAAGAGAAAAAAAAAGAGAGTCATTTTATGTTATAGCAATAGACGTCCAGAAAGAATGGGGCAAGACACAGGCTTGCTACAGTGACCAACAACCACAGAATAAAGCTATGGCCCATATCAACCCTACTCAAAAGAGTCTCAGAAATGCTTCTAAAGGGTGCCTAAATGGCCAGTACTGCCCTCAGATTCAAGCAGATGGGTCTCTTTGGTGCCTGAGACTGGTTAGGCCAACTATTCCTTTGGCAGGAGGTGACCTGAATCTGCACCAGGGATGCATGAGCCCTGCTCCTTATTTTTTTCTTTCAGGGTATTCTCCCACCATTGTACCCTCACCCCACCTTTAACAAGGGTTGATCAGATGCTCCTAAGAAGCATCAAGACTCTCTCTGTGGGATATCCAAGGGGCCTGTGTCCAGGACTCAGCTTCCAGATGGTGCAGCTCTGCAGAGTGGTTTTTTTTTTTTTTACTGGCCAGCCTGCTTTTCCTGATGGGGTCATGTGAAGTTGGGCCTAGAGAATGGTGCTGCCAAGCTGACACAACCTCATGCACATGAGGCACAGAACGATTTCAGCATTCTGTCTTGCCCAGCATCTACCATTGACTTTTAAGTTTAAAATGAATGTAAAAGACATGTGCTGGCCCTTTGAGTTTCCACCACTCCATCACCTCAAGTCCACAGTACACAAAGGTGGTGAGGGGGTGCCGTGGGTATTATTTACTCTGTGTGCACCCCCACCAGTGACCCTGGATTGTCAGTCCACCCTCTCACCAGGCAGTCTTTGGAAATCAGACTTATCTCTGCAGAAGGCAGAGAAGTGCTATGCAAAGCCAGCAGTCCCTTCAGTTGCTCTCCTCTTTTGCATCTTATTGGTGCGGTGATGTTTTACTCACCCTGGTCTGTCTTTAGGTGTGCCACATGAGGAACGGACACTGCTTGTGAGAATGAGACTGTTCTGTGCACCCCGCCTGCAGGCTCTTTGCCTATTGCCCCAGCTGATTGTGGTATACGGAAGTCAAAGGAGCAGTCAACATTGAAAGCAATCAAATTACAGGAATGCTATGATTATGGGCTCCTCAGTTGGGAGATGTGTAGTTAACTATGGTTTTACAATGTAAATTTTTGTATGGTAAATTTAACATGCCCAGAAAACAAAATGTGGTTCACATTTTTTCTGCCTACCCTAGATATTCCTATATTGTGGTTATCATCAACAAAGCTCAGTAACAACGGTTGAAAGGGTCATTGGAAACCATTATCCACAGAGAGGAGGCTGGATGATGCAATGGTATGACTAATGATGAAACTAGCTGTAAGTGAATGGTATTAGATAATTACAGAGGCAGGAAGGTCTGTATTGTTTCCATACAAACAGTTTCTAAAGAGCGTGGCATTATTGGTAATAATGGTGTTGCTACCTCTTTTCTCCCAGTGGGAGATATGAAATTAGACAGGGATAGAACACTTGACAATAAAGGGACACAAGAGATGGTTCTTGTGTCTTACCTCATCTTGGACAACTATGACTGAGGATTCTTTTAGTTTGAGCAAGTGGACCTGAAATCTTTGAATTCAAGTCAGTCTCATGTGTACCGTTACCTTAGATCTGATTCTTGACCATGGTGCTTGAGGCTATCCAGTGGTCAGAATAGATGAAGTAGAAGAATAAGAAAAAAGAAGGAAGAAGAAAGGAAAAAATTAATAGAAGGAGGAGAAACAGATAAAGAAGGAAATACAAAGGGGAAAAAACCCAGTTCTTCCTAAGAAAAAGGTCAATCATTTGAGAACTTCTAGAGGCCTCAGTAGGCTGCATAAATGAGTGTACAGCAGATGGGCTGAGACAATAAGGAATGATGGGAATTCTGGCTTATTTCAGAGCTTTAAGCAGTTATTCCTATGAAAGAAGCTGGGTCCAATTTTGCTAAATCTTTCAAATTTTCAAGAGAAGGCAAAATCAAATCATTAGGTGAAATGTTACTAGTTTGAAATACTAGTAACTAATTAAGACACTCAGAGTTCTGTGTGATCTTTAGGAGGTGTCTGGCTCACCTGCAGTTAGTTTGCAAGCTCAGCCCCAAGACCTGGAGAACGGTACATGTTGGCAAGCCAACAACACCTAAGGCTTCCAAGAACAGAGAAATCCCTATCAAGCAGGAGATACAGCAACTTTTCGGAAAGGAAATAGGAAATAGGAAATGATATCAAGAAATA